CAAAGCTGCAGTCCTGCCCCCCACACAACCTGCCATGGCAGCTCCGCTCCCGGCCCTCGCGGGCTGAGCGCCCTGAGCCAGCAGACGTCAACGTCGCGGTGATTTTCTAACGGCGCAGCGGCGGCGAGGGCTGCGAACAAGATCCTCGTTACCTGGCTGCTGTAAGACAAGGCTAGGAAAGGTGGTGGGATACAGACTGTTTCCTTGACACGCTGCCGGGTGGCTGAAGCCAGCACCATCCCCATCTTCACCGCAGTCTTTTTGTACAGCCAGTCTGAAGGGACTCCCCACCTCTGCTCAGGTGATTACTGGCCACGTCACGGAGTCTTTCAGGCTGACATTCCCTACGGCTTATTTAAATACTCTTATTTAAAGAGTAGCTGGTCACAGGAATACATTTGCTGCAGAATGCCCATTTAGTCTGGCTGGATGAAACCTAAAACAAACAGCTGAATTTGGGTACATTACAGCCAGGGCTGTAACGTGAATTGCCCCTTCCCACTGTTCTCCTGGGTGTTTCCCTGCCAACTGTGCTATTCACGCGCCAACTGTGCTATTCCGGCTGTCTGAACCCCCTCCTCCCCGGGGTAATACCTGCCTTCATGCAAAAGCCATGTTGGCTCTGGATGAAGAGATAAAACTGAACTTCTTCCTACTGCCCATACTGTCTCCACAATTTTTCCTTCTTTCGCTGCCACTTCCCACTCCTGCTTTGCTCCCTCACAGCTTCCGGCTCAGCAGCTCTTGGCCCTCCGCATTTCTCAGCTCTCCCACTACTGGGGGTCAGTCTGCTGTGCTGTGTCAGGTCTACTACCATTTCCCAGCAGTCTCTTTGCCTCCCACGTGTTTCGGGTACCCTGCCAAATAACGAAGGGCTCTGTTTGTCACTCTGTCAGGACACATTACTGTCCTTAACACTGGCTGACACCGTGACTGAGCCACTGTCCTGAGGCTCTGGTAATAGGATTTCAGGAAATGCTTTCCTTTCATCTGTCAAAAAATAATTAATCAAATAACTGTGTGGGTAATCCAAACCCGCTCCGATCACAAACCTGGATTTGGCATATAACGAAGAAAGCAATCAGCTGAGTCACTGTACAGAAAGACATATTGCAGAAGATGCTTCACAACGCATCCAACTACTTTTACCCCTAATTATATACATTTGAGAGGTTAGTCATTACATTACTGAAAAGAAAAATGAATGCATTTTAAGTGTAGAAAACCAAACCTTTGTAGCTTGACATTCCTTGCAAGTCAAATAGAATGGATTGTGTCGAATTGCCGGATCCCAGGGAATGCTGCAGCACACCCGTACCGCTCCTCAGCACTTCCTCTCAGCTAGATGGCCACGACTTTTCAGTAAGCAAAGAAAAGGCTGCCACTCTTGTACTCCATTACAAGTCAAACACAGTCTGTGCCCTACCATGGTGGTCCAATCCAAAGCTTTCCACATCCACTCCCTTCAGAAGGAGTTTCTTAAGATTACGCTACCACGCCTCCCTTGCAGCACACATCTCGTGTGACGTGAAAATGTTTGGCTTGACCAGAGCTACAGATCTCATCCTCTCAGTGCTTCCAAAACGCTCTGTGTGTGCAGATGAGAAATGACATGGGCAGGCATAGGTCAAGGAGGAGCACAGACTTGGTGGGTCTCGGGCTGTGGGGTGCTGCAGACTGCCCCGAAGGCAAGGTGTCCTCAGGGGCTCCTCAGGAGCAGCATGGGACTCATGGCTGGCAGTCACGGGGCTGGGGACAGAGCGGGGCTGCCAAGGGCAGCCCAAGCATATATACAAATAGATATAAAAAGGAATTCCTGCTTTACCAGCTGTACGTATATCACATCCCTAAGAGCTTCCTATGCGCTACGCCAAAAACCCCGTCCTATTCTCTCGCACGTATTTGCCTTCGACTTCGGTGGCCACTGGATCAGGCCCGGAGGCTGCCCAGTCCACAGCGCTGTGCACTCTCCCACGTTCCCATCGGCCCATTTGAAAGGAGGGCATTGATGTCTCTCCATAATGCAGCCATTACCAGTGCGATACCCAAGACAGATCAATCAAAGGCAACACAACGGCCAAATTCAGAGGATTCCAAAATTGAGGTCAGACTCAATAACTCTTAGACAGATGCCAAGAGAGAGACAGACACATATATACAGGAAGGCAAATTTTAACCGTGCAAACCTAAAAATGTCACTTGCGGTGATGGATGGGATGTGTTTTGGCAAGAACTGTTATTTCCTCCCCCATTACCACCCCTCGCCTCTGCAGCGGTGTTGGCATAAGGTGCCTTTGTCCCAGTGGCCCGATTCCAACCTTCCCCTTAACACACAGCCCTCAGGTTTTACAGCACGAGCCCTGCAAACGGGTGCCCTGCTGCTCTGCTGTGCCCCAAAGGGACTACTGCACTGCTGCAGAATGCCTCTCCCTAGGGAAGGCCCATTTCAGGACTAAATCCCAGCTCCTGGGTCAGTTAGGTGCCAAAGAGAAATGCCTCCAAACCTAACGGGACTCTCATGCCCTGTTTATACTAGTGCTCGGCTGCGGATGAGCTGGTTGTTGCTGTGGCTGGGGATTTACAGACCCTGACACGAAGGCTGAGAAGCCAGAGATTTTCCTAGGGTGTAGGGCTGGACTTGCACCAGGGAAAATAAAATCCCTGTAAATCCACTCAAACCCACAGTTTGGCTTAATTATCATGGTCGACCTTGGCTTCCTGTGCATTTTCTCCTCAGCTGTTTGGAGTCAGTAAGCTACTACAAATGATTAAATGATCCACATTATTAGTAATTACGTGTATCAGAGTGACATTTAGAAAACCTGACTTTATACAACACCCCGCTGCAGTTAAAATTTACAAGCAGACACAGCAAAAACGAGTGGATTTGGTGGCAAATGGCAATCTTGATTTCAAGATCAAACCCTGAATCAAACTCCAAAACTCCATCTCAGCTTCCTGCTCCACAAGGCATTAGACACACCCAGCTAGTAAACACTAGTGTAAAATAGCAACACACGCCCCAGCCCCTTTCTACCACCACAGTAGTTGCCAACAGGTTCCTCCTTCAAAATGAGGAAAAAATGCTTTAAAATATACCCTAAGTATCCTAAGATGGTTTGCGCTGCATTAATTAAATACGGGCTTAGCCGGTGTGTGAGTGTGCGGTGCACAAGTTTCCAGAGAGCTAGAAATCCATGCATGAAGCCAAGCAGCTTTAGGGACTTTTCTGGTGTTCAAGGACAAACAAAGATGCTGTGAGATGAGCTACATTAAGACTCCCAAACAAAAACTGTATGTATTGACAGAGCGTCCCCACACCAGCGATCTCGCAGTCTAAGCAGACAGTGAGGAAAAAAAAGCAGAGGAGGAGGAAATGAGGCCACAAAGCGGTGATGGAAACGAATGTCACACAGATCGAGAGCAGTGTTGTTCCCTTAGCAAGGGTCCTGCTGCCTCCTCTAGACCATACCGCCTCATTTTCCTTCGTTCTGCTGCTTAACCCCCAAAAAGCAATATGAAAATTCACTACTACAATCTCCGCTGATGGACAGCAGTGGGTCCCCGCTTCCTCTCACTTGTTAGCTCCAAACTTCTCAATTGAACGTTCAGGTCCCTCTCAGACACAGACCACTGCTTAGGACCTGAGCCTGAGGAACCCTGAGAAGATCATTTCTCTCCTCACTTTATAAGCAGAGGAAATTCCTCTTCATCCTGTAACATTAGTCCCACTTCTCCATGTGCATAGCTGGGACTTGTTCAGGACTGGGTGAAGGATCTGTGGCAAAGAGGAGAAACGTGCTCAGTCTTCCCACCCCAACCCCTAAGAACTGAATCATCTTACCCCTGGGATTCCCACACGCCTGCTCCTGCTTACTTGCTGGCTGAGCACAGGACAAAGTTGGGTTACAGCAAAGAGACAAGACCTTGTTTATCACACCCCCCCTTCCCAGCCAATCATGAACACTGTGTTCACCTGAATACTTACACAGGATTTCTTTTACTTTTGGCTTGCAAGTTTTAGCTCTCCAGAAGAAGAGACTCAAACTCTAAACCCATTTACTCTTAGCAAGAGATCTACTTCCAGCACAACTACTTATGAAATGACTGTAGGGTCCAAAAGCCTTAAAATTCCCCTGCTACTGAGAAATTATGGATGACATCTCCAAACACTGTCAACAGCCAAGAAACATGGCTAGAAATCTCTCTTCAGCATGCATGGATGGATGCATCAAGGGCAGCTGTGTCTGTACAAGAGAAATTCCTCTTGCACAGTGCATTTGGGGTTTAAAGTGGGAACTCTGCAAAGAGAGAATTAGCATTTATTGCTAAAACAGGAAACTTGCTTTGCATATTTCATTTTGACACAGTCACACTTTTTTTCCCCTCAAATTACAAGACAAATCCTAAAATTCTAACATAGTTTACAATAAGGTCCCAGTGAGTATCCAGTGAAATATACCTGGGCAAGGGTGAATAAATGCTGATGTTGAGCTGTGCTATTCCCGATCAAATTGAGCAACACGCTATTCTGCAAGTAGTTGGTGGTTTCAAGAAGGTGTAACTTGTGAGCAATGACAGGAGAACCCATCCTTCACGCCCACACAAACACATGCAATAACAACACGAGCTATCCGTGCACAATAGCTGGGCGGTTTCCTACTCCCTTCCAGCCCAGCGGCTGCTCTACGCCAGCCTGCTCTCCTGTCCCCAGAGAGGTGACCCTGTCCATCTACCAAGACTCACTAAGGCACCGCCATGCCTTTCCTGAAGTCCTCCCAGAGCACTGCCCAGCATCCCGGGCAGGGACACAAGCTGTGCAAACCCAGACGAAGACGCAACCCTTGCTGTGAAGAGCCAGTGCCCTTCTAAGGCACACACTCCCTTGTGTCAGCTCCTCCGTGCCACGCTTGGCTCCAGCCACCACTTCCCCTTGGAGAAACATCATCCAGTGGTCTGCGGAGCCCCGAGGTTCGTGGCGGAGCATTGAGGTGCATTACCTGCGGTCTCTCTGTCCCCCACTGACAGCTCTCCATTGATCCCATTCTCTTTGGTCCGAGCGTACGTTCCCGGCTGCTCACGGCCACCTGGCCCCGGCTCCTCGTCCTCTTGGTAGGGAAATCCATTGGCACTTCTGACCAGTCCGGCACCCGCGCCACCCTGCTCCTTAATTTCAGGTGAATGTGGGTGCGAAGAGGCCTCTGTTAGCTGACCTGAAGTCCAGTGTGGTGCCTTGGCTTCGTCTTTCCTATCTTCCGCCATGGTTCCTTGCCTTCACCACTTGGCCTGTAACGACATTAGCAGGAGAGATCAGCTCCGAAGGGGGGAGTGAGCCGCTGGCCGGCAGGCAGCAACCCGGCACAGCACAGGCACGTCGCCAGGGAATCTCCTGCCCCGCAGATGCGAGCGGGGTTAGATGCAGAGGTGTCTCTGCCTGTCTGTCCTGGGCACGAGGAAGCTGCCAAAGAACCAAAAGAAACCACAAGCGGTAAAATTAATGGGTCAAGTCCTCTCTCACTCCCACATGCCTTGCAATTATTAGCAACACTTTCTTGAGGGCTGCCCTTTCTTTAATCTGATTTTAACTCATTAATTACGGTTAAATGTAGACCCACTTAATCAGAAGCGGATCATCACAATGGTCATCACAATGCAACGACACCTTCCCGGGGTGAAAAAGCGAAGAAAGCCACAACTGCTAAACGAAGCGAAGCTGCTATTGCGATTTTCATGGCAGTCGCAGCGAGCGGGTGCTCTCCGGGCACAGCCCTGGGGGGCGACGTGCCCCCCGCGGCACGTGCCCTCTGCTAGCCACGACAGAAACCACATTTGGGAACAGTCACCGCTTTCCCAAACATAGTGCTATTCCACCCTGTTTGTATCCCCTCTTCCCTGCTGTTCTGTGAACACTCATTCCCTTTTGTCCTCTGGGGAACAGTTGTTTCCCACACAAGCATTTGCATTCTCTTATGACTATCAGTATTTACACATAAACAAAACGAATCATTATTTGCTACTTCACACGTACTTCACTCCTGTTAATTAGCTCTCATTTGTCCAAGCCAGGAAAAGAAGCCACTACACAAGCCACAGGCTTTGGCTACTCCTCACAGAAAAATGTAGTAGTAGCTCCTCAATACGTAAGCCTAGGAAAACAGCGTATCCTAATCCCTGTTTCCATGATAAAATAACCTCTGGAGAGGAGAGGAAGGCTTGACCTGAGCGAGCTACTGCGAAGTGGAAACCAGCAGGCCTTTCCCACAAGCACTTGTCACCTTAACACCTAAAAAAACCCCAAACACCTAAAAAATGAGCTGAGTGCAGTCAACCAGCCACGTATCACCGAGGTTGAGCAGTCTAGAAAAGAAGGCACAGAACTGGATGGTGCATATATTCTGCAGGCATTTAACAAAAACCAACCAAACCAACCAAACAAAAAAATCCCTGGTTTCCACAGTCAGGTCAGAGTGCTGAAAACCTCTGAACATGAGAAAAAGCTGCTGTTATTTGTCAGATAATCATTCACAATTGATAACTCCACCCCTTTCTGATCGGATATTATTGTTTAATAGTAACAGCTTCTAGAGCTACTTTAAGTTAAAAAAACATGGTGAATCATGAAAATTAGATTTAACTCACAATAAATACATGACTCAAACCATAGTTCCACCCCAAGAAGGGCTAATAACGCTTTTGTCTCCCGGTGAAACCACCGTTTTGGGAAGTGCAGCTCGCTCTGCTCTCACCCTGAGCCAGCACCATTATCCAGGGATAACTAATCCCATAAAGACTGCAGGAGCAGGGGAAACTTCAAGCCCAGCACTCCTTCTGAGCTGTAATGAAAACGGTGGGCTGAGCAGTGGCGCAGAGCTCGGCGGCAATGAGACGTGCCTCAATCAACCATGGAAATAGGAAACACGCTCCGTATCCCTTTGCCTTCCCCTGCTCCTCGACTCTGATGGGAGACTCACCAGCGAGCCATTCTGCACGTTTATTTTCTGACCAGAGCTTTTCCAACACATGAGGCCACGGAGCTGTACGAACCTGCCCATCAGCTCCAGCACCTCAGCCCCTGGGTCACCCACGAGAGGAGCCCAGAGCCTCGGCAGGGAGATGGAGGGGTTACGCAAGACCCGAGCGTGGGGAACGCGGTCCTGAAAATCACTGGGATGAACGTAATGGTTATTATGGCCCCCGCCACAGTTTGGAGGCTATTATCCCTGAAGTGCCCTTCCCTGTTCCAGGCAGACACTCCCTACTTCACTTGAAGCTCTTGAGGAAGGGTATTCACATCCTTACAAAGGACTGTGTCACAGAAGTCCTCTGTGAAAGTAACAGAAGTGCTTTTATCTTTAAAAATAAATACAGTGGGCAGGCTTCAATGAGAGCTGTGTGTATCTGGAGGCAGAATTTGGCTCAGTATTTATAATAGATGGTTACAGAGCGAAACATGGATGAATTCATTCTCAGCTCTGTTATTCATCAAGTGCTCTCAGAGTTTATAATGGTAGTAGAAACACAGCGAGTGAGTCACACAATGCATCTTTGTACTCAGCAATTTAGCAGTGACTATCTGCTGTACGGCGTGATTCACCAACAGCTTCAGGTTCAAATCTGGAACACAGAGGTGTGCTTTTTACCATCAGCTTCGTTGGTTTTCTGTCATTTCGTTAGGATACCATGGAATTAAATTTATCAGGTAATTCAAATATTGACACGGTAATACCAAGAGTGGACAAATATTGTGGCAGAATTTAAATAGCGTTAGGTATATATAAAGAAGAAACCTGGAATAGTTTGGACAACCTGTGGCAACACAGTACTTCAGGGAAACAGACCTTAAACTCACGTCCTTGTAACGCGGGCAGTGCACTAGGGATGGTGTTATGGATTCGAACCGGACATCCTGCCTTCTAACTAATGGCTCGTAGCAGAAACAATGGTAAAAACAAATTCCCCCGTCCTTTTTCAGCCATTTGAACTGTAATAGAGACAAAAAGTACTTAAACAATGTGGAACTAACAGAGTGACAACCCTCATGGGGAGCACGTGGTCCAACTTTGCAGTCACCTCCTCCTTCCGCATAAATGTTTCTTAACCCATACGCTATTTTATGGGACATTTTATGTGTTGCCAAGGCTGGGTTGAACCACACCTGACTGCTTTGAACCGAACACACAAGAAGTTACCCGCAGTAATACAGCATGAGAGCCTGATATGCAAAGCCCAAGATAATGCTGATTTAAACACCCTGTCGTGCTAGCTGTCCTTCCACATATTTCATGAGTGCATCTGGCAAAAGCATCTTAGCATTATGTATGCCTCTGCATGTACGCATATGAATTTTCTACAGACTTCGCGTTTTAGGAGAACAGAATTAGGCCAATACTGAAGGATTTTGCAAGTACTCTGCTCTCCTGCTTCAAGCCATGTTTTTACCTACTCCTGTGCTGATGAGCCCGTTCACAGTGAAATAAGAATATTTGATTTCAGGGAAGCTGATTCACCAAGAGAAACAGCCACCTGGACAAAGAGCTCCAATTCCAGTTCAGGGGAGAAAACACCAGAGGTTCCTAAAAGAAGAGACCACCAACTCCTCCAAAACAAACCCTGGCAAGGGGGCATGGCCAGGTTCAGAGCTCAGTGCGAGGGAGAGGGGAAGTGCCACCTGTACGGCTGCAGGGCCAAATCCTGCTTCCCAGAGGGCTATTTACTCAGATGCAGCACTGACCCAACTACCCTGCTCCTGAGTCAGGAGCCGGGAGAGGGTGAGGATTGCTCCATGGGGGCAGGATGGGGTGCAGAGGTAAGGCTAGCACGACCGCAGGTACCCAGGGCTTCCAAAACTCCCAAATGAGACTGCCTGCAAGAGAATTTTTTATGAAATGTAAAGAATTCAGATAAATTTTCAGAGAAATTTATGAGGTGAGGTGTTCATAAATTTTTGAAAAAAAGAGGACACAGAGGTAGAGAAGAATGAAATTAAGATGTCTGCAAAATGAGTTACAGTAAAATAGGTAAAGAACCATCCTTCCTTAATAAAAAGAAAAAAAAAAAAACCCACACCGCACCAAAAAAACCCAAACCCTATACAGGAATAGTGTGCCATCTAACTTATACTGGTAAATAACACAAGCAAGAAAACCTTTGATTCATGTCCATGTACCAAGTGGCCAGTCTGGATGATGTGTCTGAATATTAAGTATCAGGCACAGTGGATTAGAAGGTCCCAAGGGAATTTGCCAGTAAATGTAACTTACCCACAGCTCGTGCCTGGAAGGGCCAAGGAAAGCGTGTAGGTACCAGGAGGCCAGAACAGAAACAAGAAGAGACAGAAGGTGGGAAATCTAGATGGACAAATTCCAATAATCTCCTGCCACCATCAAAAAGTTCAGCCTGTTACAGCACGTAGTACTCAAAGCTTCTCGGTGATACTGTCTTCACAGTTTCCACATATTTAAAAAACACGAGGGCTAATTTTGGATGCCATGAACACACAGAGCGCTTTGCACCCCAATTAACATAGAAACAGAACGGTTTGGGTTGGAAGGGACCTTAAAGCCCACCCAGTTCCAACCCCCCTGCCATGGGCAGGGACACCTTCCACTAGACCAGGTCGCTCCAAGCCTCGTCCAGCCTGGCCTTGAAGAATTTCACCCTTTCATTTCAGTTAACATGCATCTTCTTCCAAATTAATTGGATTATTCTTGGACATGAGAAGTGTGCCTCTCACTGACCAAAAAGAACCGCAGCAAAGAGCATGGATGGGGAGAAAGTCTCATGGCATCTGACAGGAATCACGTTAGCCTCTTACTTATAAAGCTGGGCCATGGTCCACAAGCTGCTAGATGATTAGCAGTAGTTACCACTTGACCCTAAATGTCTAAGTCCCAAAATTCAAGTAATATGGTACATTATTAGAAGGAATTATACATCTTCCCAATTGAAGCCACTCTACGCCTCAAGCGTAATAAAGGACAAACAGGTTTCTTTTGTAATTTATAGCAAACATGGTTTATTTCTACCTTGTCCACTGCTTGAGTTATTAGCTTCCAGCTAGATCCCTCTTTTCTAGACAGCCTGAGCAAGAGTATCCTTTTAAATACTACCTCCCATCTGTTAAAAAAGCAGACAGTGTCCATCTCCTTGCACTTGTGTTAGCGTTTAGGCACTTTTGAAGCCTCTTCCATCTCCAGAGTGCAAACAGTTAGTCCAGTCACATATTCTTTATAGAAAACCTTTTTGATTGTACCCTGGATTAC